ATATTCGACTGTGATTGGTCAATTTTCTACGACTTGAGACCCTACGACCGCTACGACTTCTATTGTAGACCCCGCATTAAGGCCATCGCATTTACGACTAAAATTTTTGTAAGTGTGATGGCCTTTAGTCATAAATCAGAAGTTAGAAATTGACTGTGATTGATCAATTTCCAGCTTCTAACTTCTAATTTATGATTAATGGCTTATGCGGGGTCTACAATAGAAGTCGTAGCGGTCGTAAGGGCTTAAGTCGTAGAAAATTGACCAATCACAGTTGATTGTTCTTCTCATATTCGACTGTGATTGGTCAATTTTCTACGACTTAAGACCCTACGACTGCTACGACTTCTATTGTAGACCCCGTATTATTGTAGAATGCGTGTTATGCGTCGTCTAAAATGGCAGTATCAGTAAGTCCAAATCTACAATAGGTATTTTAAGCCTTAAGCCGTAAGAAATTCACCAATTATACTTGAATCCGAGAAGAATAATCGACTATGATTCGTCCATTTCTTATGGCTTAAAGCTTAAAACTCTATTGTAGATCCATGGTAATGGATGAGACTGTAAGAGTAAGAAATTGACCAATCACAGTCGATTATTCTTCTTACATTTAATTGTGATTGGTCAATTTCTTACTCTTACAGCCTCATCCATTAATGGCTGCGTTCAGCAGAACGTTTGTTTTGCAACTGTTGGAAGTTTTCTTCGCGCTGATTGGATCATACTTTTAGATCTAGAAGAATGGTCCTGTCTCAGCAGACAATCATAAAACGGTTGCAAAACTGTTGATGTCTGGTTTATGCTTCGGTCTTAATTCTAAAATCCTAAAATTCAGCCAATAGGGCTACCAGTTTTAACTGGTTCTAACTGAAATCTATATTCCATTGGCTAAATTTTAGGATTTTAGGATTAAGACCGAAGCATAAACCAGGCATGAGTCTACTGAACGTGCCAGTCACTGATACTGCCATTGGTCGCGTTCAGCAGACTCAACTGTTGCGGAGCGGATCAATGAGCTCTCGCTGCTATTGGATGATCTAAAAGAATACACCAATAGCAGTGAGCGCTCACGGATCCGCTCCACAACAGTTGAGTCTGCTGAACGCGACCATTGTAGATCACGCATTACAGTCGAATCCGAGGGGAATAATCGACTGTGATTCGCCCATTTCTTATGACTTAAGGCTTAGAACTCTATTGTAGATCGAGGGTAAACGACGGCGATGCAATTACAAGGTGAGGCTGCGCTGGGCTGTGCTGGGATACGTCAGGCTACGTGAGATGCGTAGCCGATGCGGTTCACGTTTGTGATGCCTATGTGTAACCGGCCTTCACAACTTCCGGATTCCTTGCATATTCTCGCCGGCTAGAGGTGACGAACTGTCCGAATTGCATCATCTGTTCGCGGTTCAACGAGGACTGCTGATCTGTAAACTCTGTGAACCGATATTCCAAAGGTATCTCTTCGTCGCGATGCAATCGATGCAATGTCGCCGAATGATCGTGCTTGTTACGATAATCGTGTCACAATATTTCGTAATAAGGATACGGTGTTGCCTCGACTTGTCATTATTCTTTTAATAAGCAGGAATTTCAATAAGTGCCGTTAACGTAGTGTGAAGCACTGTCGTGATGAATTTCTTTGCTTATCTAACGTATTTACTTACTCACGTGTATTGTATCTTCGTGTATTGTATCTTCGCAGTTCAAATCACTTCTCACACAAAAGTCAAGTGTATTTTGTCTTTAATCAGCAAGTCTAATAGGAATTAAAGAATCTTAAAATTGAAAGAACCTATATAAAGATCCTAATAAAATTAATCTATAAAATCTTTTTTTATTCCTGAACTAGATAACATTCGAACTTTTTTCTCGCTTTCGTTGAATATTAAACGTTTATTTAATTTTAACTCCAAAAGTGTATCTAGGAAGAACATTGTGTCGATAGTCCAATTTAACATAGAACTGAAAAATCTGAGACTAGTCATCTGAGGTGTTTTTATATTCCAGCGAAAATATGAATTACAAAATATCGTTTCGTGTGAAATATACATTTGATATATTCCTTTTCTTCTTTAATAATAATTAGGTATTCTTTGTGAATCTTTAAACACGCAATTTCATAGAAAATCCACAATAAAAAAAGCGATATACTTTTTTAAAAATACTCTCATAATCCAGATAATATAAGTGGAATATTCCAATAATATTGCTGGAATGTTCTATGCTACCTAGGAAATTACTTAAAGCTGGTTCTACATTGATCGCATCGTAGTGTCGCAAGCATTATAGTCCAATCAGAGTCGAGCTAGATTAATGTTGATTGGATCGCAACGCTTGCGACGCTGCGATGTGACTAATGTAGAACCAGCTTAATGTGTTTATTCTGTTTAATATTTGTTTGGTTACTACTTACTTTTTTAGAAAAGTGTGATTAAATTCATATCCATATTGTTCTCAATTTATTATTATATATACTTGTGTACAACGACTTTAAAGTGTACTTAAACAGAATCCAAAATTCAAATTTATAGGACTTTTATTTTCTCTGTATCTTTCCTTTTTTATAGAGAACATATATATATATATATGTAATAAAAAAAGTACAATATGTTTGATAAGAATTGTTGAGAGAGATTGTGAAAGATATTGAGTTTTAAAACTAATTTACTGGAATAAGTCTAAGTTTTAGTTACTTGTTCTTGATCGACAGTTTGTTTGCACAGAAAATGGACTCTTTTAGAGGAGACAGGGAAACCAGCAAGGATGAGGAAATTATAAAACAAAGTATAGGACGTGGACGTGTTTGGTCACAGTTAGATTCATGCAGGGGACTCAGACGACCACACAGTGTACTAACTGCTAGTCAATCCAGTATAAGTTAGCATTATTTTAGTTGCAACAAAATTAGGAGCTTGTTGACTATCAAATTTAAAATAAAACCACTTATTTGTGCATAGAATTCGACTCTTCGTCATCTACAGTGTCGACACAGCATAATCAGGAAGAGAAGAAATTTGCGCTATCGCCACAGGCAGCAGAATTTATTCCAAAATCCATGCTGCCTCAGGTTTTTAAGTCGCAGTCTCCTTTGGTGAAGTCTCCTCTAGCAGAGCCTAACGTATATCTGCCTCCTGTAAGTTATCTATGCTATTTTGATTGGATCTTCAAACATATCAACATTCTGTTATTTTGATTCTGAATAATTTACTGACAGCAATCTACCCACCAATATCAAACGAGTTGCATACAAGACAGGATCAGAATAGCTCGTGAAATACCACCAAATGTATCTGTACCTCCGTCGTTTGCGGATGATAGTACTCTAGAAGACACTTTGGAGCAGCAATGCAATATACAAGACACAGACGTAGGAAATTATAATAATTATGGATATGATCAAGATGATGTGAGTAATAGCAAGATAAAAGTCTGATTTCTTTTCATTATAAGAAGCTGCTTTATATACAATATTTATATGTATCAATAATATTTGAATTAGAGAGAGAAACAACAAAATGAAAAGGAAGAAGCATACAACTTAGAAACTTATGAACATCTCAATAAAATTATCACCATTTTAATTATGAATCCTGCCGAGTTCACCAATCTAGTTCCACCATTTATGGACAAGCTTAGGTTGAGTGGAAATATGCGTTGCTTGCAGTTGGTTATCACAACCATAATCGAATGGGTATAAAAATTCCATTTTTTTTTCCCGAATACGTATTCGGATGCCATTTAATTTTGCGCAAAACGCATTTTATTCGTAAACAATATTCAGTATTTATCTGATAAAAACTACGTAGAATACTACATAATTCGTATGTTGCTTTAATGTCTTTATATTATTTTCAGTCTATAGCGGAAAGTAATTTTCGATATAATGGAGCACGATTATGTAAATATTTCGATACCAGCTTAGAAGATTCCAAAGAGATGTATATGTTTTCCAAAGAGTTGTTCAGGGATTTGTTGTGCTTCCAGTAAGTTCAAATGTATTACATATGATTGGAAGTATACGATTTATATACATTGACGATATTTTTATATTAGATGTAAATTGGAGACCAGATTACTCGAATCTGAATGGCTTAAGCAACCCGAGGAGCAACGAGACCAACGGAAATGCAATGGACTGATATTGTTTTTAGCAGAGTTGGTCGCTCAGATGGATGAGTCTTATGCTTTCATTTTAGGAGAACTTTTGGTATTGTTTATTACTAGGGTACTGCAAAGACCAGCATCGAGTTCTGTTAAATATATATGCCAAGCGCTCAAAGTAAGTCGCAAATAATAGTGACGATATTTTAATTTTTATCTACATTCTAATGTACGCATTTGATGTATAGTTGGCGGGTCACGTGTTGGAGAAAGATAAAAGCAGGAGTAAAGACATGGAGAATATGATGCGGGCGCTAACGGAACTCGTGAATAATGGGCAAGTTGATACGCATGTAGGAAACATGGTAAACAGTGTTCACGAATTACGAAAGGATTGGGGTAGAAACGCGTCCAATTATGATTCTTCTGGGTCGAGTCATGCGTTATTTAACGATGTGCAGCGACAATCTGATCAATTGGGTGCGTCTAATTATCATTCACCTGAATCGTTGAAAATACAGCACCAAGTACCGGAGAAAATACACTTTAACCAACCAGTGATGTACGGTCCTGACGGCTCGATTCTGTCTGCGGAGGAAAGTGAATTTCTTGAGCAACATGTAAAAGCTGATTTAGATGATCAAGGGTACGTTATAACTTCATATCAGTTGCTACAACAATGATATAAAGAATCGAGAAAAGATTTTTCTCCACAATCAGTTATTACATCAAAATTAATATTATAAAATTCTAATAAAACATTCATTTTTTGAAAAACTTTGTTTCTTAAATTGTGTTGTTGTAGTAAATGAGCAATATTTTAATTTCTTACATATTATTAAAATAATGAAAGAGAGATAGTTGAAAGATGCCATTCAACAAAAATATTTATTTAAGAAATTAATGTACTAATATTATATAATTTACAGGACATCTGAAGAAGAACCCGATGATAATTATGACGATGAAATTGCGACTGCTTACGAAGAGTTCTTAAGAGATGCAAAGTGCAAATAAAATTCAAGACAGTGAATATAATCTCGCACAAATGCATTGAAAAAAAGAGTAATTTGGTAATAGCTATCAAATATTAAGTGAAATAGTTTCAATCAAATATTCAGTTAATATAACAAAATTAAATATATAACTATATACTATTAATGTATACATATATATATGCGTTTGGTGTATATATATATATATACAATATATATATATATACCAAACATAATATAACCAATTGTTTGTTAATACTAAATATTTGAAAAAGTGAAGTTATTTTTGGTTATATTAATCAAACTTGATTGAAATTATTTCACTTAACATTTGATAGCTATTATCAGACTTTTTTTCAGTGCAAAATTACACTCTGGCTCAAGCATCTCACTTTAAATACGAATATATCTTGTTTAAAGGTTTAGATTTTCAAAGACATAAAAATTTGATTACATGACATTAATACGATACTCCATATCTGTATCACGAAAAGTAGGACAAGATACTATATCGATGGAAAAGAAATGCACCAAACACATGATTAATTTTAGATTCATAAAGATCCGCCATGTATGTACATAAATATTAATATCGATATATATATATATATATATGTAGCGTGCAGAGTGGTTCACTTTGAAACGGAATGTTTGAATAAATTTATTTCATTGGACGCGAAAGAAAATGTTAAGGACAAAACTTACATAATCGAAAAAAAAACTAACATTACAGAAGGAAGTCCTTCTCAAAATTATAGTTTGTATTTCAGAATTTATGTATGTTTTCCTTTTACATCTTTAGCGAATATTTTAAAGTGTAAAATTTTATTTAATAATTTAAAATTATTAATAAAAATTAGAATATTAAAAATTTACAAATTTAAAGAAATATTATTCAACCCTTCTGTTTCCGACGATCGACTCTGTACATAGATACGTGTTCCATATGGCAAATATATGTGTATTTTGCATTTATTTAAAGTTATAAGCGTATGTGTATTTGTACGAAAAGTTTCCTAAAATATATAACACGAATTTTATATAACTGCTTGTATTTGAAAAGCTTGTAACGCCAATTTATCAATTTCATTTCATCTTCTTAACACAGATAGTTTTTAAAATAATGACATTTATATGTAAGTATCCTAGATAGCCTGTAGAAAGCAAATTTTTTAAATGTCTGCTACACACTATGCCAACAAAATAGCAACAGAATTGTTACAGAATTAGATATACATAATACTGTTGAGACTTCTAGAAAAAAATATGACAGTATCAGACAATGTCGGCAGGATCTGCTCAGTTTTTACCAACAATTTGCCTTCACATTATGTAGATAGGCGGTGTTAACAGAACACAAGCCTAATGCGGACGCAGTTGATGGCAGACTGCCGTCATTTTCTGCTAGAAGACTGCAGATACTTTGCTATCTGGGTATAATCGATTTTTCATTAGCGACTGGCGAAAGTGATTCTACAGACTGATTTTTGAAATAAATTCGCATTTACCGAATCAATGAATTTTACGTTAAGTACCAGACAAATGATTTTCGATGAAGACCTTCAAATATATATGAATTATTACGTTCCTCGAGATTGCTGATTGCGACATCGGATTGTGCGTTCTATTCACAGAAACAACAACAAAACGGGAGTGTGCGACCATTCGGGCGATGTGATACTGAGATTATCATATTTTAATTACGCGGCACGATTTGCATTTCTGCTTTTTTTTACTTTGTCTACATTTTTGTTCTAGATTAGCATATAACGCGGATATGAAGAAGACGGGAGGGAGTGTATGACGCGATATGAAAACGGTGATCCGCAGTTGAACGACAAGCCGATACCGGATTTACTTCGACTACGCTGCAGCAGCGGGATCGAGCGTATCAGAGCGTATGCGTCCGCGAAGATCCATTTTTGGCGCGAAAGGGTTCCCTCGTCGCGGAACTCCGCGCACCGAAGCTGCAGCTGCGATTACTCATACTTGTTTTGACCAACGCATTGTACTATGCACGCGAATATGGAATATCATTATTGTCGGGCAATTCTAGGCCGGGATGAACGGATAATTGCGTGCGTGCTCCAATCGCGTTGCGCCGCACTCAGGCCATGGGAAAACCGTCCTGTTCGCACGTAATGCTCATCAATTACAAAAAAAAGGAAGCAAGAGAAAAAAGAACGACGATATAAAATACGTAGGCGAAATTTATCGAATACCTTGAAGGATAATCAGGGCCGTGTGTAGGCGAAATTCGAAGGGGGGACTGAAGGTCGTAGATGGTGGGGCTGGGATCGTCCTCGCGTCATTTACGCGATCGCAGGTGATCGGTTAGTCTTCCTCGCGCCGATCGAGCACCAAGTTGCAACCAGAGGTGGCATTATTCGGATAAACTGGGATAAACTTTTAAGTTTCTATTCGGGTAAAAACTTCATTATTCATTAATCACATTATCTATTATTCAATGTTATATGTATTGTTTGTCGCGCTCATTGTCTATTGCTCATTGCTCATTATTTCTTTGTATTATAATGTAAACATAAATAGTCCCGTTTCTACTAATGTAGATTAACTTCAATCTCGGTTTAATTTGCTCTTTATCTTTTTCTATTTCTAGAAAAAGATCAAATTAAACCAAGATTATAGTTAATCTGCATTGGTGGAAATAGACATTGGTAAACTTGAGGATTGAAGCAAAAATGTTTGCCAGTCATCCTTTGGAATCTTTTTTTAATTTAAGTAACTGGGATGATCTTTCTTTACAAAAATTCAATCCTACAGGATAGATTAATTACTTGTTCTGAGTATTAAAAGCAGTTGTACACACTGTTTGTAATGCTCAAAATAAGTAATTAATTACTACATTCCAGTATCAAATTGGATTTACTCATCTCTCGTTGCATGAAAGCGAATTATTTCGTTAAACGATTAAATTGAAAAGAAGAGTCTCTTTTTAACTTGAAGAATTTGTTCGATTTGCTGCATCATCGGAGAAAAATAGTTGTAAGAGTAATGTTTTCTTTCCGCGTTAATGCCTATCATTATGCAAATCGTCTTTTTTATAATTTAAGTAATTGAGACGATTATCCATCTATATTTGCAAAAAAGCGAATCGTTCAACGATTTAAATCAAAAAGGGAAATCTCGTTTCAAGTTAAATTTGCGCAGAACTTGATTTGCATTGAAAAATAATCATTGCAAGAGAATAGGGTTCTCTTCCCGTCTTGAGGATTCAAGTAGTTGGGATAATTTTTTACTCATCTCCAATTTCAAGAAAGCAAATTGTTTTGTTTATAATGATTTACATCGAAAAGAAAAGTGTTGTTTTAATTGGAAGAATTGCGCAGAATTATAGTATCAGAGGAGAATCGTCGCGAGAATAGCATTCTTTTCCACCTGTCATTAGAATTTCATCTTTCGGCAGATACATTTGGAACAGTGGCAAAATGTACACGCAGGCCGCAGCCTTGTTCCTGTTCCTGTTCACCACGTTGGTGAACGGCAGTCACTACGTCCAGTACGTTCAGTCGCGAACAAGTACGTCCGGTAAGTTCTTAATTCTTTAATAATCTTTATTATTAAGTTATTACGCAAAACCGAAGCGTGCCTGCTGAATCACCCGACTCTCCGTCTGATCGTAGGAGGTTGCGACAGCTACACGTGCGGCGTCAACGCGAGGTGCACGATGAGCTTGGGGCGGCCAGTGTGCTCGTGTTTGAATCTTCATATGGGAGACCCGCTCGCGCAGTGCGTGCGAGTCGAATGCCTAAGTGAGTACAAACGCGATCAACGTGAACCGCGAGCATTATATAATTCCTGGAAGAGTAAACTCTTGTTAATTAAGTCGGAATTATACCGCGTATAAACTTAGGTTTATAGGTTTATACACTGCTGGACATTTAAAAAATTGCAACAATGAAAAAATGCGTCATATCGAACCGAAATTTGTAGGATGAGTAGGTCATGGAATATGAAAATAAATTATATACTCCACAGGAAAAAATGTATTAACATTATTAATTGGCAGTCTGATTGAAAAATGATCTTGTTAATTTATTGACACACAGTAGAGAAATTGTGTTAAATTTAACACATTTCACCAAACGGTCCACTAAATATTTGTGTTAATTTGACACAAGACGAATATGCTAAAAAGTAAAACAATGAAACAAATGCACCGTATATCTCTTGTGTTTTAATAAAGTGTTATTTCATTAATACTATCATTGAATGAATAATATTATTTTCGATTAGACTGTTATTGTTGACTGTTAATGCTATTAATACAATATTATTTTTTGTGTTGTAATAAAAATATTAAGCTAACTTTTAAATTCGATATATTCCATATATCATAAATAATAATCTGCCATAAATGTTATTTTTATATCTTATATGTTTTCTGGTGTTGCAATTTGAATGGTGTATCAATCGGCACGTTATTTAGCATTCTCGTCACGTTTCAGTTAACGACGATTGTCCATACAACAAAGTATGTACGAACAACAGGTGTGTCGACCCCTGCGTAGGTCTGTGTGGAATAAACGCGAACTGCTTGACTAGAAATCACATAGGTACCTGCGAGTGTATAACAGGATACGTTGGAGATCCGTTCTCGGCTTGTCAAGTTGCTGATCCTCGTACGTAGAACATTTAATCTAAACTATTCTAAACAATATGAATATCTATAAAAGACATTACACGAAAATATTTTAAGAATATTTTCCTAATATTTCTGACGTTTTTAGACTTAATGTCTTTTATTTGTTTCTATTTATCTCTTTCTCTCTTCAATTTAAAGAATTTACTTAAATATAAATAAAATAATAATTAAAGAGTTATAAATTTAATATTAATGTTTGTCTGCACTCCATTCGTATGAACTAGTTTGTGTCTAGTTCCACAAATAACTCATTAACTCTCTTATTATTCGATGCTGTAATACTGATAAATACTAATAATACTGATAAAAGTTAATGAGCTTCAATTATCCAAATCATTCGGTTATCGTAACTGTCTTGTTGTTTTGTCCCTCATGTTCGGATAAACGGAATTTTACTAATAAATAGTAATAAATAGTAATTCATAATAATTTAATAAAGATAATAATTCATAAGAGAGTCCACTTTTTTCTACTATTGAGAACGTTGCAAGTTATTATCAAAGATATTCACTGCGATATAGAAGCCGCCTGTAAACCGAGTCCATGCGGAGTGAATACTCAATGCGAGGTGATCAACGAAGTGCCAGTCTGCACGTGTCTACCGGGTTACAGAGGTTCACCCTTAAGCGGGTGTCGTCATGAGTGTGAGAGCGATATCGATTGTCCTCATCATCTCGCATGTTCATCGTTATATAAATGCGAGAACCCATGCAAGTGCGGAGAGAACGCGGAGTGCCAAGTCATCAATCATCAAGCGAAGTGCACCTGTCCGAAAGTAAGACGCCTCCGCTTTATCCATAGAGAATTATGGTTATTCTATTGAAGGCTATAAGTCTGACTAAGCATCCTCGATGACGAATGAAATCAAATGAAACGGAACGGACGTGTGGGATCGATCCGCTTCTTGTTCCAGACATGGACGGGAAACCCATTTGTCGCATGCCGACCGGAGTGCACCACCCACTCTGAATGCCCATCGAATAAGCCCGCTTGCCTCTATCAGAAATGCGTGAATCCTTGCGACGGCGTGTGCGGCGTGCACGCCGACTGCAACCTACGCGGTATCACTCCCGTTTGCAGTTGTCCGAAACATATGACCGGTAATCCTTTCGTCAGCTGTAGACTGTTTGAACCACGTAAGTGATCATCCTTACAGAAATCCAATTTAATATCGAAAGGTAATAATTATTTATTTTGAATATTAAAAGCACTATACAACACTTAAAATAATTAATCATTACCTTCCAGTATTAAAGTTCAGTAAAGGCAATATAATATCCGTTAGAGATTAAAATTGAGATTGAATTTAATCAATCGGAAGAAAGAAAACCGAATATAAAATAATATCAAATTTGGTAAACTTTGTTTTGATTGATGAAATTCAGTTTTAATCCCTAGTTTAATACGGGCATAATCATTATTATTATAATTAACTAGAGTCGTATTCTTCTCTACCATCAGTTAATCACTGACGAATCCAAGGAGATTACAAGGAAGAGAAGAAGAGGAAATAATTATCTCAAAATCAATGTATCTCCATTTTCAGGCGATCTCTGCGAGCCAAATCCCTGCGGTATTAACGCGATTTGCACACCGGGCCACGACAATACCGGGAAAGAGAGGCCGGTATGCACGTGTCCCACCGGCTACATTGGCAACGCTTTGACGAGCTGCCAGCGCGGGGAGTGCTTCACCGACAGTGAATGCCCCGACAATCGGGCGTGTATCGATTTCACCTGCAGGAACCCGTGCACCGGCCACGAATGCGGCCCGAGCGCTGAGTGCACGCCTCGACGTCATATCGCGGTCTGTACGTGCCCGCAGGGCACCAGAGGCGACGCCCTGTACACCTGTAATCCGATCGAGAGCAAATCAGTGTACAATTACGGCCGCGCCTACCGTTATCGCCACTACTAGTCACGTATAAAACGACACCACGATCCCACGTTTAAAATACTCAACGTTTTAATACTGTAACTTCTATTCCAATTTTATATTCAGTCGTACTTTTGCGAAGAATTGAACCGGGGAATAGAAAGAAGTTAACCGCCTATTCCTTACGCAGGTCGTATAACAGAGTAATATATATTTTTCGTAACGCGCGCGCTACGCAGATAATATGTCTTCCAATTCGTGTCCACCACAAAGTAGATCTCACACAAAGTGTTCTATATGTTTTATAAGCTGCGGCTGGTCGCAAATCTAGTTTCGATCCGTAATAAAAATGAAAGCACAATGATTTATGCTGCAATATTAAGATCCCTATATGATGAATTTTTTCCCATTTCAGTTTCATTCCAAACGCTACGTTCTGTGTTACATTCTTATAAATTCTATAAGACTCGTACATATTTTTAATATGTAAATTTTATACACATAACAAAGAGAAAGTAAGAACTCAATGCAACGTTGTAATATATTACTTATAAAGGTCTGAATTACATTATCTGATCAAACAATAATTTTTATTGAATAATTTAACATTATTACCCATAAGGAGTGCAAGTCCATAGTTATAAAACTAGTTGAGAAAATTTACGAAAAATCACTTGCCGCTATTAAAAAATAAATGATTACAATCTTCTCTTACATATTATTTATAATTATACAATATGACTTACGAAAGAATATCACGCTACATATTAATTATCATAATTATTGGCAGCACCGTTATGCGAAATTTACTAATTTTAAAACAGACATTGTCCGCCTCAATGTCCGAGTGTTCAGGGGGGTTCTTCAGAAATATCTTATTTACAAATATATGCAGGATGATTTTTAATTATATATATATATATCAATATTTATATCAATATATATATATATATCAATATTTGTTATTAGTCTATCATTTATTGTAAATATATATTTCATGTTTTTTAAATTAAGATATTTTTCTAGACTTTTCACAGTAAATGAAAAGAAAATATATTAAACAATCCTATACGGATATATACAGACAATAGCGATTCCGTTCATATATTTAGAAGTACAATAAATGAAAAATAAATTAAATTATAAATATAGCACTATCTCATATTATTTAATTTACAATTATATTTATAAGAATTTATATATGAATTATACATAAAAAATAATTATAATGTAAATGTATAAAAAATATATATAAGAAATATGTATATAGACATATAATTAAAAATCATCCTGTGTATTAAGGACACAAATTTCCTATTCTTATAATTATGCCATATTTCTGTAGTATTAACAGAGTTAATATTAACAGATTGTAATTTTAGTATCTCATATCACGCTCGCACTTTTTCGGCTATTCTATTCATTCACGCGTGATTACTACGACTCTATGATTGATATAAAATAAAAATTATATTTTATACGCGCGAGAGGGAATATTTAATCTACTGAAAGAAAAGATTAAGATATACATTATATTTTTGTGAAATTAATCTGTAGTATAAAAAATAAGATAATCAAAATAATTCATTAAAATAATTTGATAAGATAAAAAAATAATTTAAATAAATAAGTATAAAAAATACAAAGGAGATGGAATATTTTTTAAAGTGGTTAATTATGCGCCGCTCTTTTACCATTCATGTAACCGATCCATCTCTCCGCAGTTGTGATAAAAATAGGATCGTTATCGATAGAATTGAGAAGAAGAAGTTGATTAATGTGAGTAGAATGGTAATCCCATCTAGCTAAATTCGGTGCTGTCTTTAATGTAAAATGACGCAAATCATACGTTGTACCTGAACCGGTATCGTATAACGTTAACATGTTTTTTAACGATATCATACCCTGATTAAAAAGTCTAGTCGCTTCCTCCGCGTCCTTACCCACCGCTATGCTCTTCAAATCGTAGAGACCAATAAGCGAATAAATAAAACCATTGAGTATGAAAGACGAAGGGGTAGTAGGATACTCCTCGTACCAGACATATTTGCTTAGAAATAGCGCAGCCACCCCTCCTTTAGCGGATGTCAGTCTGAAAGGTCGTAGGCCTCTAATAGCGGCCTGTAAGTATTTCGCCTCTCCAGAATGATAATATGCCCGTGCTAACACTGATATCGCGTGACCCTGTCCCATACTGGAATACCTGTAACATATATTTTTCTTTTGTGAAATTAGTTTTACTCTTGATCCTTCTGTCAATGTATAATAATTGAATATTCATATGGAATTTTAAACAGTAACAATTTTTCAAGTTTATGCGAATTCCGTTATGACGCTTTTCTCAAAACACTACCCTTCAAACACTAAAGAAGAGTTTTGCATAGATATCTCGTTTTTGCATTTTTAGCGAGAATGACTTATGAATACTTTATGAAACACGATAGTGAAAAGATTTAAAAAATATACAAAAGGGTTAATTCCATAGTTATATGTATACATATGTAAAAATATGCCATGAGTGATACCATCCAGGCTCGAGAATAGCCATTCCAGACGCTACTTTTCTTCTGACAGGATTCGGCCAACCACCGGAGGTGATATTCTGATTAGCGACAAACCATCTTGCCGCATCATAAAATTGCTCCATATGCTCGCTAGTCGATAATGTCATATTGTCAATCATACCGGAGCCGTACAAAGTAATTTTAACTACCTAAAATGAGCGTGGTTACATTCAAAATTTTCCACGATATCAATAATAAAATTATCGTTCGAATGACGCTTACCTTTAACTTAGACCGAGGTATTTTCTTTCTACTTTTATCATTCAAATAAAGACCTTTTTGTAAGTCAACTACGAGGTCTCTAGTAAGACGTTTCCACTGATGGTTAGCTTGTCCGATTCCATAGTGCACATGATTATTATAATTATACAAAACTATGTTGTTAGTAACATAGTGAAGGTAGTATATCTCTTTCTTCTCCCGTGACTGTAATGCAACCGTGACACTTCCATTGTCTTTAATATTAAGATCCCATTTCAATACAAAGTCCAATACGTGATCCAGCTTCAAAGAAATCCCGGAAGTGCTCGTTTCCGGAGTGGCGAATTTCAGGACGTAACTATTAGCTTGCTTGTCGTAAACTCTGTTCATAACCGATCCTTGAGGAACGTTCCAATTCTGCTTAATTTTATCAGAATCCTCAATGATCTTTCTGTGTGGCTCGGGCTCGGTTAGATTTTTACTGTAATGTGATAATCCAAATTGAGCAATTTGTGTGGGATAATAGTATCCCTGGCTCTCCCATTGCGTCGATATCGGTACACCGTCGGTGCCGCTGATACACTTAACTCTATCCCTGACTTCGACATTGTAATTTTCAAAGGTCATAAATACGCCTCGAGGATCATACTTTCCCTTGGGGTTTACAATCTTTGAGTAACTATGCAGCCATTCGAATCTCTCCAGACCATCGTAAGTAGCTAGTTTTCCATAAATCTAAAAAATTATATGTTATCGTAATATATTTGTAATATGATTTATTTAATTTAACGCTAATCAATTCGCATCAACTTAACTGACCTCAAAATATTTATGGATAAATGAAAATGGTATATACACTTCGTCGCCTTCTTTTCGACATCCTATAGAGTAATCGCCGTTTATATGACAATCTATCTCTTGATATCCCGATTCTGTATTTATACGATCCTATATTGAAACATATAAAACATACATAAAAATATGGATTATGTCGAGCTGATGTAGATTAATACGTTAAAATCCGCTCTCACTATTATATAAATTTTGTCTTACCTTATGATACTTTGTCTTCCAATCTGTATGGAACAACAAGGTTCCACAATTATTCCATGACGCAAGTAGAAAGCTCACTGTTGCAACAACCAAAACAAGCAAGGCTGTCTTGAAGTTCAGTCGCATCATCATATAGAACCTGTCGATATCAGTTGCATCTTATTCCTTCGTAAGCAATTACATATATCACGTAAATATTCCAACTAAATCTTACACGACAGATATGATAGGCTAGATAAGCGTATTGTTATCGATTAAAATAGCGAATAAAATCCCAGTAAACGAGAATGGATTAAAATGGATTGAAATTTTGTCTATCCGAATGCGTATTTTAAATAGCGAAAACTTTTTTTTGGATTCAATTGGATTCAATTAGATTCAATTGGATGCAATTGGATTGAAAAACAGTATTTTCTATTCAAAATTTTGAATTGAACAGTATTCACGATGCACAGAAAAAAGCTGATATTATTTTTAGATGTCATGCTTCATGCAATTCTTATAAATGAATAAAAATGCAATCAAAATTGAAAAGCATTCATTTTAACATTCGTGAATCCGTTTCCTGAAAATCTGAATTCATTTCAATCCATTCTCGTTTACTGGATTATGATAACTTTGCGATTATCCAGATTGTCAATGAAACTCACGCGACACGGATGTCACGAGCGGCTCGTCATCTTATAATTTCATCTCCAGAAAGCTTTTAAGATCCCAACCGTCCCATCTTTCCCAGAGATTATTTTTCCGGACATGTTGATATTAATCAGCTATCATCTATCGACATTGAGATTTCAAACGAGATACAGTAAACATCCTCTTGGATATCCAACAAGCTTGTTCCAAACGTCGAGTAGCCGTCAATTTGTAGAACCTCTCGGTGGCTAAGCCACTTCCCTGCAGGTACACCTCCGGAGCATGGAGTATGGCGCATGGAAACATTTCCTCGCGGCCGTCATCGCCACGTGGAAACCGAATTACTGTAAAATTATATCAGCAGTTACTCATTTTGCTACAATGATAAGCGATCAATTTCAACTCTACATATAATATTTGAAAGAACATTATATTCACAAGACACATATAATACATGAAAGAAAGATACTGAATGTGTTCCTGCTAAATTTGATGATAAATGAATTTTTCAGAAAACAAACTGATCAATTCTATTATGAAGCAAAAAGCAGAAAAATGAAAACAAATACAAAAATTGAAAAATTTATAAAAAGTGGAGTCATTCGAATGAGTCATTCAGAAGGCAAACTAATCAATTCTATAAAACAAAAGCGGATTAAATTAAAAGCCTTGATAAAAAAACTAAGAAATTTACGAAAAGTAGACTCGATCGAATGATTCTTTCAGATAAATTTATCAATTCTGTAAAACAAAAAAATTGAACTTATAGTTGTACAAAAACTAGAGGCATTTACAAAAAATGGTGTCAATCGATTTGGTTTTTAAAAAGCTCAAACAACAGAGTGTATTTTTACGACCTCGACCAAACTGTGACTAACTCAATCGACGATTAATTCAACCAGAATTCAAGATAAAATTCCTAACCATACAAATATTAATTATCAAATCTTTATAATCTATATGCAAAAAATTGATTCTATCCGCGTTAATAAAATAGTACAGATATCGACAAGTTAATAGCTAATTAAATTAATCGGAATTTGATCGAAGCCACTGTAAGACTTCCTAACGTTTTTGTAAAGCGCTTCACACGGGCTCACAGCGGGACGTCAATAGCGAATTGGCGATTACCAGCTGTCAGAAAACTCTTTCTGCAGTTCCATTAAAAAATCTTCGTATGTTGTGCAAACCGCGTTCTCCTTGCTCGTTCTGACGTAAATACCCGTCCCGTGCGGTGTGCCCGTCCCACCATGGGACAGTAGAATGTATACACACTGTGAACAGTGCCACGATTTGGTGGTTACAACATATGATCGCGAATTCGGAACAAGTGGCGTATTCCTGAAACGCGGTGCGCATGCGCGCTCCGTCCTTCCGCTTTTTAATTCTGTCAATCCTATCGAGGATATACACGTGTATGTGAGACGTAACGAATTTTCTGTGATTTATGCAGTATCAATATACTTAATTGTAGCAAAAAAGCATGATTTCTATACATAATAAAATTTTTTAAACTTAATTTAAATAGAATTTGAGAAAGTAACGATATATATAAAAATCATATAATTTTATCATATAAAATCATACCTTATCGTAAAATTAAATTAAATTCAATTGTTTATATAATTAAGCGAATTAATCTTAGTCGTAGAATTAGATTTTATCATATCTAGATATAATTTTATACGAGAATTATTCTTGATGAGCTATTCTTACGGAGATTCGACATAAAGAAAAGGAAGCTCTCTTTGCTGTAAAAATGATTGTAAATTACATATTAAAATTAAAAATTTTTATATATACAATTAATGTGCAACTAATAAATAGTTATAAATCCCATTTTACAGCTCAGATACTTTATACCGAAGCTATATTTAACGCGCATGCGCAAAAAACCAGCGCACGATTCACTCCGAATGCAGTGTTCCGATTGGTGCTCCCTTTCTGGCGCATGCGCATTGATGCGGCAAAAAAAGACTCTGACGACAGTGACGTCAGCCGTTAGTGGTGCAGTGTGATGGGCGCAAGTCTTGGCGGATCAACGTGCTTCAAATCCAAATGCTCCCCGAAGAGGCTTTCTGGATCTCAGGATCAATAGTTTCGCATGCATTTCAACTTTTCTTTGCTTGCTTTCCAGCAAGGACATAGTCAGACACTGTTTAACGTTGGCAAACAACAAGGATAAAACGACTGCTCCTTCCTTGCTGCTCCTTCCTTGCTGCTACTTCCTTGCTGGAAAGCAAGCTTTATAAACTCTTAAAAAAAATATATATATATACATATATCACATTTTCAGTTGTGGATAATTTAATGGGGACATATGGTACATCTTTTCGTCCGTGCTAGATACTGCACTGATCCTGTTCTTGACGCGCATGCGCCAAAAAGGAAGCACCGATAAGAACACTGTCCGAATTATATTTCTCTTATTTCTTCTTTGGATGCCTTCGGGTTCGCGTGCTTCTGACAGTTTTGACACTTCAGACACGTCATCCTGTCTTGGCTTGACTGCGTAGTTTTGCATCTTGTAGTAATATTTTCATCTACGTTAACTATAATATAATCACCGGTGAAGAAGACGGGGCTAAATAAGAGAGAAAGAAGCTCGGAAAGAAGATTTTTCCTTTGGGACGCAGTGGATGTGCGTGCTCCAGGTGGCTCCAATGTTTCCACGTGTTTCTTAAATCTTCGAGAAACACGTGCTCGGGTAATACACGTGTTCGTGTGAATTTGGTCGTGCGATAAAAAAAAAAACAATCAGCGATTCGTTAAACATGAGTCATGCGAAGTTCGATGTTTTCGTGGGTACAAAGTCTGGCCTCATCAAAGGTAATCCTATAGATTAATTCTACGACGAAAATATTTGTAGGTTAAAGATAACCTGCCGCTTATTTATATTTAATTCACATGTGAGAAATGTAAATTGCAGGATTGAAAATCGGACGAGTAAAGAAGGAGAACAAAATAAAAAATTTGCAGAAAGTATCCCTTATTACAGAAAATGATAAAGTGACTAGGATTGCATGGGATGACAACAATGAACAAGAGATTTTGGTTGCATGCAGTGCTTACAAAGATAACAAGTAAAGCAATCATTTTTACAGCAAAGTTCCTTTACTTTTACATTTCCATGGAAATAGATATGATTTTATATAATAGAATATAATTTTGCGATAAAATTAATATAATTTTTGCAATATACGTCATTTAATTATAATACATAAACAATTGCATTTGATATAATTTCACAATAACACAATATATGTAATTTTACGATAAAATATTTTATATGATAAAAAATGATTTTAAATGATAAATGATATAATTTGATATGGTGATATAATTGCGTGATCGATTTTTTTACAGAGTAAAGATCTTTGATGCAGAGAGTGCAGTACTCAAAGATTGGTTTTCTTGTAACATAGGCATAGGTAATATCAGTGGAGTATCACGATGTGGCAGGTAAAATTATCTCAGCGTCAAACAGCGTATTCCACATGCTAACCAAGTATTGTCTAGAACCTTCTATAATTACCTAAGCAGAGTTGTAAGTGGTTGTGCTTGTAAGAATTGACCAATCACAGACAAATTCTTTTTACATTCTTTTTACATTCGACTGTGATTGGTCAACTTCTTACTCTTACTTCTTACACCAAGCTTACTCCGCATATTGTAGACAACACAATATATGGAGCCACTCGAGTAGTATTTCTGAATATAGCCCTAATAAAACAATCTGTTGCTGATATTTATAATCTGCTCTTATTTTAAAACCGTCATAAGTAATGTCTTAAGGTGCTCTTTGACTGATATTCGTAGTTGATTCTTATTTCAAGATCGTTTTAAATAATGTAGCTTATGACATCTTAAAATTGCTTAAAACTTAAGACGATCTTAAATATAAGAACCAATTATGAATATCTGCCTATGATTGGCTTACCTCCTAAGTGACATCTTAAGACTGTACTTAAGACTTAAATATAAGGTCAGTATTCATAGTCAGATCTTATATTTAAGACCGTCTTAAGTTCTGTCTTGAGGTATCACGAACCAATCAGAAGGCCGCATTAGCGTCTTAAGACATTACTTAAGATGGTCTTGAAATAAGAATAGACTATGAATACCTTGAATATAAGAACAAACTATGAACACCGGGCTGTGATTTTATTTCAGGTCTATTTTGACATCGGTCAAAAGCGGGGAAATATGCTTGTGGACTGACGGAAAAGGAGAGTTATTGATAAAAACCGATGATAACTTGAACAGAATGTGCCACTCGCGTGAGCACACCAATTTGATAGCAACCGGAGGAGAGGAAAATAAGTTGAGAATGTACGATCTAGAGATGCAAAAACAGATATTCTCTGCAAAGGATCTCCCGCACGACTGGCTGCGCTTACGCAGATGTATTCCAATATCAGACATAAGTTTCTTACCAGGAAACCAACTAGTCACAGTCGGTAAATATGGGAATGTAAGAAATGCAGTTTTGTTTTTTTCTTTGTAAAGTTAGCCTCGTGCATTATTTGTAAAAATACAATCGTTATTATTGACATATGTAATTTCATAAAGATACATCTGTATGATCCCTGTCGCCAAAGACGTCCTGTAATCGATATGACGGTAAAAGATGAAGCTTGGACCTGCTTGGATGTCACGCCGAAAGAAAAGTAAGATTTCCCTGATGGAAAAATTTCGCTGAAATTATTTTACGTTTTGGAACATTTTTCAGCAAAAATTTCAGCATTTTAGCAAAATTTCAGTTTAATTTCAGCGATTTTTAGTTAAAAAATTCATTTTTAGCAAAATTTTAGCAAAATTTCAGACAAATTTCAGTACAAATTTCAAAGAAATTTCAACAAAATTTCAGAGAAATTTCCGTGATTTTTTAATAAGTTAGCTGAAAAATTCACTTTCAATGAAATTTCAGCAAATTTTCAGCAATTTCGCTGAAATGTTCCAAAACGTTGAATAATTTCAGTGAAATGTTTTCACCAGGGTTGTACATGTGTACAAAACTATTGTTACTTTTAAAGGATCATTTAAAATAAGTATACAAAAATCTATCACAATATTTCATTATATTGTTAAAGACATATCATAGTGGGCTCAACTAAAGGTAAGCTGAATCTCATCGATCTAAGACAACCGGGCACTGTGCTAAACACGTACAAAGGATTTATCGGTGGTGTAACCGGAGTGGCTTGTAGTAAAATCAATCCGTACGTCGCCAGTGTCAGCCTCGACAGACATCTGCGGATACACCATATTCATACAAAAGAATGTCTCAAATGCGTAAGTTTTGCGTTTTGATTTCCTGAAATATTACGGCGTATCAAAGCAAATGTTTGATTTGTGTTACATTTTACATTGCAGATTTATTTAACATCGAAATTATCGTGTTTAGTAATGAGATCGGATATCTGTATAGAAATAGGATACGAGGATGGCACAGAAAATTAACCCTCAACTACAGCAATAGGTCATTTGAATCCGAAACAAGCAATTTTGACTGTTTGTACGATCTGTACAAACGATTGGTACTATTGGTACGATTGGTACTGTATGAAGTTCTAAATTGTAAAAAAGCTTTGAACCTTCCTTTGTCAATCGCTGTAAAGAGCGAAGATTCACTTGTTTACTTTAAATAGGACGCTTTAGAACTTATAAAAAAACCTATAGAAGTGTCTTCCTCTGATGAGCTTGAATATGTTGTATTCTAGAAAAAAATAAGGAACCTGTATTTTTTTTTATAAAAGTCCAATCGGATTTTTACGAGATGCACCCTTTGAACAAAATTGGTTATTATTTTTTTAAGCAAATATCGTTGAAAGAGATAGAAAGAAATGTTTGAAATAAAAGTTGAATGGTTTTAAGAGTACTTAAAAATTACAATTTAAAAAAAATTTTTTAGTTTTTATTTAAATAAATTTTTTGAAACTATATATTCTCGTGAAGTATTTTCCAAACAATTTAACTTTTATTCAAAACATTTATTTCCATCTCTACAGTTTTGATATTTGCTTTAAAAGAAAACTTTTTTCAAAGGAGCGTTGCATCTTCTAAACGTGCGATTGAACCTTTATAAAAAAGATGTGTTCTTTATTTTTGTCTAGAAAAGAATTGCTTGTTGAGTGTATATATAATTTTCAAAGCTGTAGTTAGGATTAAAATATTTATTAATCTATCTGAAATATCATGAATAAAAAGTATTGAATCATTTTTATATGAAAAAGAATATTTTAGTCTCTTTTAAAGACGTATATTGCAAAAGTTTCTTTTAATTCCCTACTTTTCACGTTCCTTCAATATTATCAATCATGCAATTTATCATTTAATAGCGTATTCGACCCGAGCTGGTTTGCTCTTACCTAGGTTGGATTAATGACATTGTATGCTCTCTTATTGGCGAAACATGTAACGTCAACCAATAGTAGAACATTATCTAACCCAAATCGGAGCAAACCTATTCGGATCAAAAAATTATAAGATTCATCGTTTATGACTATATAGGCCGTTTATTGTTTTTAACAAAATCATGTAAGAGCTGCAAAAAACTATGACGTTAATTAAGCATTTAAAAATCTAAAATACGTATAAAAAAAAGTCAAATATATTGCTTATCTTAATAAAAATGTTTCTACGTAGAATCTATTATTTCTAAAAATTTTTTAAATAAGTTTTTCTACGTAGAATCTAACATGTATTAAATGATGGACAGATAAAATATTCTTCAGATTCATTTAAAAAAAATGACATTAATCTAAATAAAGACAAAAATTTAGGCAATCATTAAATAAAACATTTCTATCACAGTATATATTTTTTACTCGGCAAGCTGTTCTTTCATTTTAAATATCGAAAAGGGGACAACAAAGGTTGAACAGGGAGTAGGGGTAGTACGCTAACGTCGCTTTGTTATGACTATACGTAATGCACAAGCTTTTATATTATTTATTGTACAGTTTATTTATATTTTAATACCGCATCTCGATAGAGCTTGTATTTTGGTTCTTTGATGCAGCGCGCACAGAATTCAATCGCTCATTTCCCTCTCGATTCTCGTTCCTCTAATATTATATAGAATGAAGAGAAGCTAAATATATTCTTCGATAATTTCTACTGTGCTTTCAACAAGTAACAAGTTATGTCGAAGCCAAGTGCGCGGTACACGCTGCGGTATGTTACAGCGTGATCTTTAGTATCTTTAAGTAGAAGAAGGTGAACGCGGCAATTCGCAATGATTGCAACGTATTTTGTACTAAAAAAAAGAAACGCGCTCGCGCGCCTACAGCACATTAAATAGTACTTTTCAGCTGTACAAAAATCTTCGTTCACACTACGCGTCCTGTTAATTAATACTAATATTTAGCTTTGTCTTATCCCGACTGCACTTACATCTAAGATAGTATATATGTATATTTATATACGTGTATTCCAATGAACGTGTCTCTAGGAATACATTCGCTACATTTACAGGCACTATTCCCTTCAAAATCGAGTAACTACCGTCACCTGCATTTCTATATGAGGAAAAAAAGAGATTAAGATCTGCGTCAAACGTTTCGAATTTATATTCCAACTGAAATACAATTTATAACTCTAAAGCTTTTCTTGATACTCATCTTCAACAACTTGATTATGCAGAACTGCTTTACGAAGGAATGTTTCTCTCGATCCATTAAAGAATTTGTAGTGCAAAATTATACTATACAAATTTCCTCGATACTCCGTCATATTATAATTTGCATTTTTTTCATGATATGACGCGAGTAGGTAGTAATTACAATTGGATTTATATAATACAAAGGCTTTTTTTTGCTTACTATACTCAGAGAATTCGACATACTTGCCAATGAGAGTAAAATTAATTTCACCTATATCGTTCATGAATAAAGCAATTAATAGATCGAAGAATGTATTTTTGTTCGTAAGTCATAAGTCAGTATTCTTAATTAAGACGATTCACGATATAATTATAATATAAAATCTTATTTCGGTGGTTTGTTATATCAATCCGCGTATCGTCAAGCAATGATTATACAATATATAGAATTTGGTCAAATATCACATTAAAACTCGAGTATTTTTATCCGATTCATCGAATAACTTTAATAATCGAGTATATCACGTCGATTCTTTCAATTTTTGTCATTTACGGACATAAGTGTACAAGAATTTTATGTAAATTAGTTCATACACTTTGATATCTATTTTTCGTAAATATTCAAGAAAAACTATATAGTCGTATTATAATAAAAAATTATTTTAGCGGATAACTTTAGTTTGAGAATATAATCTTGCCTTATTATTTCAATAGAGTTTTGTGAATCTTATTTTTTTTTTAGTATAAAAGCCAAAAACGTTGCAGCTTTTGTACAGAGCTTTACTCCTCGACATTTGCGTGATTCTGACAATACAGTGAAAATGAAATATCAAAATAAGGATAAGAAAGAGGCAATCTTTTAGGTGTATAGATATAATCCGAAATAATTTGTATCTTGCTTTAACAATACGTATTAACAATATACAGTTTGATATACTCGATAATATCATTTCTACATAATCAATGAAAATTGTCTGAAACCTTAAAAGAACCATGCCTATTCACGTATAGAACGGTGTTAAAATGGATCTACTTATTATGCAAAATCAGTAATTAAGATTAGGTATCTCTAAATCTTTCCAATAGAAATAAAAGAAAAAAAAGATTTTTATAAATGAGTATGTAAGTCATATCAGAGACACTAGATCGGTGATATACAATGCATTGAGAAAAAAATGTAAAAGATCTCGCGCGTACAACGAGGACAGGCATTCGTTTTTGTCGATCGCGAAATACTCTTCGATAACTTTTTTTTTTAATTGTCACATATCCTAATTATACACAAGATCAAAAGGAAAATATCTACGTTACTCCATTTCACAAAGGGTGAATACAATTTGCATAAAGAATATATAATCATGATTAAGTTGCGATTTTAGACATTTTTCAACAAGACAAATGACACAGTGAATTATTTCATCTTTATTTAACATTGGTAAACAACAAAATTGTATCGATAATTCACATTAACTGTGTTTCTTGTTGGAAAATGCCCTTTCTCTCTCCAAGATTTTGTCATATCTTCAAAAAAAGTTCGTTCCTTCAAAATTCGTCATTTCTTTCTTGATCATGCTCGATTGTAGAAGGGCGCGGAGAATCGCATTCTGAGCAAATAATGGCGCAGCTACCTACTGTCCTTGGCGAAAAGCTCGAACGTCTAATGTGTCTGTGTAGCATTTGTACCATAAAAAATTAAGCTTAAGTGATTTTATACACTATACAGAGCATCGTGTTTATTACATCATAACGTTCAGCGAACTTCTCTGTTGTTCTAACGCGCCACATCTAATTTCTCTCAAACGGGACATCCTGCCCCTCCTCTCCTGCGGCGCGTATCACCGATTAACTTGCGTACTCGCAGAGAACCACGAGCGATAACAACAAAGGATGTACAAATATGCAGTCGTTATGTTATTCGTCCACCGCCGCGGTTAAAAGCAGCGGTCAATTCAGTTCGGAGTCTGCATCCGTGCATGGCGGCACGTGAAAACGGCGACGTCTCATTCCCCACCCGAGACGCCCGAGACACAAATGTTTATCACGTCCCGCCACGTCGCCTCTTGAGTTTGATTCACTAGTGTCGACTGAGGTTCCGAAATATCCGACGTGACTGGACTCAGCGGTGGACTAGGTGTCGCCGGCGCTTCCTCGGACTGATTGCGATCCGCCGTCTCCGCGGCATCTTGCTCAGCTTCGCCGTCGACGAGCGATGCTTCCGACTGCGCGGAGCTGGGAGCCTTCGACAGCAGAGAATCTTGCGCTCGCAACGATATAGAACTACCTTTATTGCTACTGCCATCCTCACCTAAAGTCAACAGAGAGTTAGTATGATAAGAGTCGCTCCACAAGAAGTGCGTATTTACTCAGAAGTTGAAAAACATACGCCATACTTTATTAAATTAAATTGAAGTATTCGATTTTATTATAAGAATAATATTACACGTTTTACAAAGAAAAACAATATATGGTAAGTCGCAAAAAAAGTAGAAAATAAACTTCTTAACATAACGTATTTTAAAAGTTAATTATAAATGAACCGAAGATAATTATTGATCAAGAATGTTAAAAAATGTTACTCACCACAAGGCCTAAGAACGAGGTAGAAGAGCAGATCGGAGAGGGATATTATACCGATCACTTTATCGTCATCATCGATCACTACTAGCCTATGCACCTAAAAATATGCAAGACAAAAATGTATCAATAGTAGTATAGACTGGAAAACTACGCTCAATTTAAAAATACGCTCCCTTACTTCTGCTCTGACGATCCTTTCCATTATAGTAAACAATGTCTCATCTAATTTGCAACTCTGAACACCTTCGAACCATTCATTGCGATGCTCATTTGCTTCGCGCAGCGAAACGTCTAGATTGTTGTATGTCTTTTCCGCTGCTAAGTTCTGAAAAAACAATTTATTTAAACGTTAGCACTTGCATAACATACAATACAATACCTTGCAGATGCTTTTTTTTACAATGACTTACAATGACATCAAACTTTGAATAGATGTTCACTAACTTCCCCTCGGAATCGACAATCGGCAATGCTGAAACTCTCCTTTCCACGAATTTTTTCAGCGCTAAAATTATGCTAGTTTCCTCCGTAGCTGTTTCTATATTCTCGAAAGTACCTATCCTTAATTCTCTCAGCGTTTTGTTGGTGAAAGATGGTTTCGGTAACTCGTGGATCTGCCGATTGCAACGAATTAAAACAGATTCGCGCTAGTAGT